CCAGTCCAGGCAACTTTAGGAAGCTCAGGGCTACTCATAAATTCATTAGCCCTAATATGCTTTTATCCACTCATTCACAGAAAAGCAGGCTTGATTAAAAGTGCAACTGGCTGAGAGTGGAAAAAAAAAAATACCGTCACATATCAGCCTGTTTGAAGTAAATAAGGACATGCAGCCCAACACACCAGATACTAGGTTAGAGAAGATGGAAGGAGGTGGTGCTGAGAAAGATAAATTGTTGTAATAGACAGTTATGGAACTTGCCTTGGCAAACCTTCTGAGTTCTACATCCATCTGTTCTACATTAATCTGTCTCCACTGGGTTTTAGTCCAATTATCAATGCTTCTCTGAAAACGCACAAGCAGATAAAAGTGTCAACAACATTTGGTGAAAGCAAGTCTCCACAGCAAAATATATAAACTGATGATACACAGTGGTTCTGTGATCCACTGGAAAGTCAATTACTTAAATATTAACTGCACTTGTCAAAGCTTCCCGATCAACAAAACAAAAACGTTGTCAGAACATGTCAAACTTAAGGTTAAAACATTATGATATATTAATGTCTAGTAGCAATGACAAATTCCATACACATACCATCATTATCATTTAATTTTGAGTAATTTTGAATGAACTGGATAAGTATATGACCATTAAATATACCAGATTTTTATTATTCTACATATAACATAAGGTTTCATAAGACAATCTTCATCCATTATAAACACAATACTCAACTTTTTTACTATATTCTATGCCTTGTTCATATATGTCTATATGGTTCTCAACTAACTTCAAAGAAAATTAGGTATAATGCACATTGCAAAATGCCTAGTTCGCTAGAACTTACATTTACACTTACATTTTTAACTTAATTAACAATATACAAATTAACTTTATTTTTAGCCAGGTCTGTTTATAGATGCACACACACATAAGTACAAGCATGTGTATATACATAAGTCTGCATGAACAGGTCACCATATATGTATAATATATATTTATATATTAATTTTTATTTATAGCCTGCATAGTCCCCCAAAAGGATTCTGAGGCAGTCAACTCATTATACGCAAGTTCATTCAGAACTAGAAACAAAAACTGATATTCAGAGAAGAATCTTCTACTAACAGAGAGAGAGAGACAAACTCTAATTCTGGAGGGAAAATCTAATGTCCACGTGTTTCAAGAAATAAAAACCACACAGACCAATACAGATGCTCAAAACTGCTTATTTATACAAAAGAACTACTAAAGGAAAAAAGGATTCTCTAAGAAAAGCAGTGACTTACTCTAACATAAATAATGGCATCCCAGAGTCCCTTGAGCAATTTCATTTCTTTGCGACACTGCTTCATTTGTTTGTACTCTGGAGGAGCCACTTCAAAAAGATGAGTAGATTCTTGCATGTGCAACAGTTCTTCTTCTAATGCCTCAAGCTCTTGATGTGCCTAAGGAGAAAACACACACACATACACATACACACACACACACACGTGAACACCCTTAATATCCTATGAACTGCCAGAGACAGCGAAACCACATACTTTTGTAACTCAATGGTTATGTCAATGTTTACAACTTTGATTTTAAAAAGAAAAAAAATTAATCTGCAGTATAATTATTGGTAAAATGTACAAGGCTTTAGATGAACAAACTCACAGCTACTCAAAACATGAGAGTAGACTATAAATAAATACATTAATGTTATTAATACTCTCCCTTACATATTTCAGCAAAATGTGCTCTGGCATCAGATTTCTGTGGATAAAATTTTTCCGCTTGATGTTCACTGTACAGCTGGGGACTTTGCTGGGCAGCAAAAGATGAGGCTCTAGAAGCTTCCACTTAATGAACAAATCACTTCTATTCCACTTACATGAACTCAATACACGTGGTTCTTAACAATTACGTTTAGATTGTTCATGAAAATTTCATATGACATTAAACAAAGCTAGCCATCCTCTTAAGCTGTTTCCCTGTTAATTATCTTTATGGGCGTTAGGCAAGTATCAAAAAAAAAAAAAAACTAACAAAAGCGAAAAAAAACTAAAAAA